TTAGGGGGTACGTGAAATTTAAAAAAAATGTATATATTATTTTATGATAAACACTGAATAATCAGTAATGTAATTTATTTAATTTATTTTAGATGTAGATTATATACTATGTATAACTTGAATTATGCACCAACAAATTTGGGGGTACAAAGTTGAAGAGAAATTATATCCGGGGGTACGCGAACAAAAAAGGTTGAATACCACTGGTCTAGAGAGTACATTGGGACGCCACCCCTGTCTGCGTGTTGGATAGCGGCCGGTGAAATTGAAACGCCGAGCACCCAATACCGGCTTATTTCTTGTCCTGGAGATTTTCGTAGTCAGCACAAGCCCGGAGGGGCAAGGTTAAGAACAAGGCGTTGCAGGGGAACGAGAAAGGATTGCTGTTGTTTTGGCTGGAAAACAAGATTTACGAGTTCTTGCGTCATTGGATGTATGCTTAATTTTCTGCGAGGAAACACCATCAGAAGGAAGAAACGAGAGGAAGCTGCCATTTTATATCTCGAAGGAGGCAAAGGAAAGAGAGAGCTCGTTTGAAAAAATAGTCACGTTCCAGCAAATCTTCCAGCGCCACGTCGAAGAAGCTTCAACATCGACGGTTGCCTGAGCCGTAGAATTTGCCATTCTGTATGTACACTCGCCACAGCACCGGTTCCGTAGAAATATATCCTAATGACAGCCAGTTGAAGTAGCGCGAGAAGCCTGCAATCAGAACTTGAAAGAAAACTACTTCAGCCTGAGACAGTGCTTATAAGGCTAACTAATTACAAGTTGCTACCGAATTTTAGAGTTAATTTTTCGTTCTACTTTCAAAGACCAGTGTGTTCCGTCTTCAGCCCAAAGTGTGCGAGTAACAATACCAACTTGTCTTTCTTGTAGACTTCGTTCAAAATGTATTCGAGATAATATTCCTACAACGACACTTGTCTAAATGTACTATCGAAGATTGTGTTTTGTTCCAGAGAAAATACGAGTATATCTTCTTTTGAGTAATCAATCATTATGCTAAATTACAGCCTTTGACTCTTAAAATCTCTATTTTAGGAGATATTATTCAATTATCTTGGTTAGATTCCAGATTCTCGCTACAAAAACGTGTAGGCCTAGTGGCATCTCACGGTCTTATGCCAGTGTATGTATATCGTCAAAGATATTGTGTTTTCCATAATTTCATTTCTCCATAATAGAAGAATCTATTATGAAATAGAGGCGAATATATTTATATTCGTCGTATTAGTGCATTGAGATACAACTTGCCAATCGCGTGTCTTTTACAAGTAAATCGTCCTCTCAGTTTCGACCAGAGACAATCCAACATTTGTTATTAATTTAATTATACATTTTATACGTTCATTAACAGACATGACGGATGTCAGAGGACGCGATGTCTAGGGCGACGGTCGTAGCTGTTTGGATACTGGGATCGCGGGTTCGAATTCCGCTCAATGCATGTATGTTTAAACTCCTATTTCTTACGTTTTAATGTCCTGTGTAAGCAAAGGTCTTGCGATATGCTGACCATCTGTTGAAGGAATCCTGCCAAACTGATTCATAATCTCAGAAGTAACTCTGAAATTGACTTCGTGACTGTAGGTGGATATATCGGCGAATTCTAGTTACGTTGTACCTGAACAAATTATTGTTTACGTATTGTTCCTTAGCTTATACAATGACGTCCTTTTGACTGCAGGCATTTTATATGATGGAATTAAACGGGCAGGTACTGATGTATGTTGAATATACAAAGATTTGGAAGAGTCAGTCTTGATGTAATTCAAAATCCTCTCAGAAATCGCTGGAAATACTGAGAAAATACAAGGGAATTTTCGATCAGAACAGGTGGCACCACTTACCCCCTGCCCGTTCCAGAGGAAGTAGGGAGGAAGGGAAGAGAAAATAGCAAAGGAACGAATAAGTAAACGAGAGAAGTTACAGTGGAACCATGGTTCCGGAGAATTTGACGTAAATAGAGGTCTAGAGGTCTAGAGGTTAGAACGCTGGCCTTGTAATCCTGGGGTCTCTGGTTCGATTCCCGGCGGTGCCCGAATTTATAACTTGTGTTGGGCAAGGCCGTGGTCTAGGCAACACGGAGTTTTCCTCCGTGGCATCCCAACAATTACTCCATTCACACACAGAAGAAGGCAATGGCAAACCCCTTCTGGATCATCTGCCAAGAACGTATATGAACAGGTCCCAGTCCGAGAAAAGGATGGAAGGATCCTGTTCATATGGACCTGTCGTCAGACAGAACACTAAAATAAATAATAGTAATGTAATGTAATGTTATCTTCAATGTCACCCATCTTGTTACGAAAGCGGATTGTTGACGGCAGTAATGTAACACAACAATTCCGAGTAAACACGACGTTCCCTAGGTACACTTTTTCGTTACACTTTTTTGCCGAATGACCCTTCCTTATAGACGTATTTACGTCAAAAAAAATGAAATGTAATTGCCGTCTCATGGCGCATTATGAAATGACATCCCAAGACAGTCTTTTAAGATTCGGATAAGAATGTGAAACGTTAAACCAAGAACACAAATCCCGTTTTGCAACCCAAATGAAAGATTATCTTAAACGTATGAGTTAAAATCGGTTTCTGATACAGAAACGATGTTAACAACTTGTGGTACAACCTGTAGTGAAAGGAGTAAATGAAGGAAGATCTGCTCTTGAGAATATCGGTGGGAGGGGAGAGTGGATGAAGTCCTGCACAGAGAACAAGGGAGAACGATGAGATGAGAAGTGAAGGGGGGAGAGGGGATACGAAAACAAGGCCATCGGACCTAGCAGATGACGGTCAGATGTGATGTTCCTTTGCTGGAGCCACAAAATTGCATGCAATATTCATAGAGTTGATGCTCGACTCTCTCTCACACAGAAGGAAGATAAAAACGGGGCTACGGTGGATTTATGACCGCAATCGTGACCCGCAAAAAATCTCTGCTGCACCATCCATAAAGCAATGTTACAGTTTGATCGCCTGGCGATCAGAATATAGGCTACACAACATAACGTAATATGGCGGCGAAGTCTGTCGTCCCCTCGTCATGTAACAGCCATAATTAAATTACGGAATCCCCCATACATTGAAGACTCCACTTTCGTAGGTTCAAGTAACATTTGGTTAATTTACTTTTGTCATGTGATCTCTGTGATATTATTAATGACAAAGGAAATAAACCTAAATTTACATACTGGTTCAGAACTGTGGGGTAGAAGTAGCCGGAAGATAATTGGTCTAAAACGTTGATAAAGAACTATAATATATATACATGTATATAGTTTCAAACTTTGTGCGTTCCTGTATTGAAAGTAGAAATTATGGATAGCTTTTTTTTTAAAAAAATACTGAGTTCTAAAAAAAAAATTTAAATATTTTTATTTACGTGTTTTATTTTTATACAGGAGATTCGATTATCCGGGTTGATAGCGAAATTTATTTTTCCGGGATAATCTGCAAAAATCCAAGAAACAGCAAATTTAAAATGTACGTTAGTTTATTTACAGACATGCGTTGCTTAAATAATATGTCACTTTTTGTATTTATTCCTTCCTTTTTTAAACTTTCAAAATTTCATGAAAGATTTTGTACACTTAATTTATTTTTTGTTTAAACCAGATAGACGTCGGTTTATCACTTTTTGTATTTATTCCTTTCTTTTTAAACTTTCAAAATTTCATGAAAGATTTTGTACACTTAATTTATTTTTTGTTTAAACCAAATATACGTCGGTTTATCCGCGCCACGGATAGTCTAAGAGTCCACAATTCCATTAGATTGATGTCGAAGGAATTATCTACGAAATTATAGGACAATTAGGTAAGACTAGCAAAGGTGTTCTTCGCATTTCGTCTTAATGTCCATTTGCTATACGTGCACAGAGGATCATAGCCCACACAACACTCCACAGTACTAATAATTTCACTTGCAGTGCGTTAAATACACAGAGCCAAGAAATGTCTCAGATGAAAGTACATGCTTTAATATCAAACATCATTTTGAGAAAAAAATTAATTTTGTTTCGTGTTACTATGTACGTTCTTAGAACGAAGTGCATAGCGAGAACGCAAGATGGGCTGGTCATGTCTGTCCGTCTGTCGAGTCCATTAACTCGAGAACCACTGGACGGATTTGGATGAAATTTGGTGTGGAATCAAAGGCGAGCAAAGTCATGAGGTGGACACTGAGGTGCTGCGATATGATGACCATAGAGGAAACTTGTTTACCATTGGCAACCAGTGTTACCGAGTTACTATGGTAATCGTGATGTAGGTGGGAATTTCAGCCATAGTTGAAATTTGTTTATTTACAGTAGATAACATGGTTACCATTGACAAATACTGTTATGGGTTTTCTGAAGATTTATCGTGGTTACTATGTTA